TTCTGGACATAGACAGAGCTGTCCATAGCACCAATAATGCAGTCATAGAAAGAGCGATGGATAAGCATGAGATCCCCAGAACGATCATTGCTTGGACGCAAAGCATGTTGAAGGGCAGAGAACTATCGGTGAAACATGGACAAAGCTGTGTCGAGCTGTACCCGGCCAGGGGATGTTCTCAGGAAGGAGTCTTGTCGCCTCTGCTATGAAACCTGATGGTGGACGAACTCCTAAACAGGCTGCGGGAAACCGGGTTCCACGTCGCTGGCTTTGCTGATGGTGTGGCAATTGTGGTTAGGGGTGGATTTCTGAGGGTGCTCGGAGACCTGATGGCAACGGCTTTCAGCAGCTTTGAGGACTGGTGCAGGGAAACTTGGGTCTCAGTGAACCTAGGCAAGACTACATTCCTAGTCTTCACTAAGAACTACAAGCCAGAGGCGGTCAGCCTTTAAGTTTGAACGGCTCAACGATGGATTATACCAACCCAGTAAAGTAGCTAGGAGTACTCCTGGACAGCAAGCTGAGTTGGAAAGAACATCTCCATATATAGAGAAACAAAGTGTTTGCCTCAATGTGGGCATGCCAAAGAGCCATTGGCAAAACCTGGGGGATTAATCCCGGAATGCTGCTGTGGCTCTATCAGATGGTATTACTGCCAAGATTGATATACGCAGCGATTGTTTTGTAGTCTAGGAGGAGAAAGCTGGAAATAAGGAACCTGTTGCAAAGTTTACAAGGAACTTTCTTAAGGGCTGCGACAGGGGCCATGAAAACCACATCCACTGAGAAGCTAGAGATAGCACTCAGTATTCAGCCCTTAGACCTCAGAGCAGTTGGCTGTGCAAGCACCACAACCTACAGAAGTAGATTTCAGCAGGAATGGAAAATGACGGGCCAAAGACATACACGACTTGGGCTTATAAATAAGAATCCTTTCGTGGGCAAATCTGATAGAATCCGAAGGAAATATGAGATCAGCACAGCCTTCAACACTAGAATCCCATCCACAGAGGAGTGGCTAAACTCAGGAGTCAGGCCGGGACCCAGGGAGGAATACTGGTTTACTGATGGATCCGGTTACAATAAACGTTTTGGGACTGGGGTCTGTCGCTTGAAGGATGGCTATGGAGGGAGTCATTCTTTGGGCCAATATGTGATATTGGCCCAGAGCATAGCATAGCCTTTCAAACTGAGGTGTTGGGTATAACAAATGTGCGTAACACCTCCTGGCGAAGGAAATGAAAAGGATGAAAATTTTCATCTGCAACGACAGCCAGGTAGCTATCAAAGCACTGCAGAAGGCCACCACTGAATCCATCGTGGTGTGAGAGTACATGCAGGCGCTGGCCGCATTAGGGGAGAATAATAAAATCATCCTAACCTGGGTTCTGGGCCACCATAGAATACAAGGAAACGAAGAAGCAGACAAATTGGCCAAGAAGAAAACTGAAAAGGACCCTGCAAAGGGACTAGTTGGGATGCCATACGCAGTGGGTAAAAAGCTTATTAAAGATCACCTACAGCGGGAACATGAAAAATGCTGGAGAAATACTGCGACCTGTAGACAGACAAAACTGTTTATGGGAAGGCAGTCGAGCAGAAGGACAGTGGAACTTCTGGTTATGAGTAGGAGGAACCTGAGGGTCACGGTACGCCTTCTTACGGGCATGCAGCTCTTAGGGCTTACCTGTACAAAATTGAGTTGGCCGAGCAGGAAGACGGTAGACTATGCGGAGGAAAAAGGGAGGACGCTCCGCATATTTTGTGCGAGCGCCCTCTGTTAGCTATTCGTAGATATAAAAACTGGCGCCAGGTTTTTCTGCAACCAGCTGATTTAAACGAAAGTGGCAGTCAATAATCTGATTAGCCTAGTGAAAGACACAGGGCTAGAGCTGATAGACTGACCGAGGAAAAAAAATGCGGAAATGACAAACGATCGTAATCGTGTAGATCTAAGCTAATGTAATCCAATAATTGAAAAAATTCTGAATTGGTAACACAATAATTTGAATAAATTATTTTATTTCAATAATTTGAATAAATTTCAGTTCAATTAAATTCTTCTTCTGATTTTGTTGCAATGATTCGGCCGACTTCAATCACTAGCTATTATTGTAACCGATAAGGTTAAAAGAGGAGAACTTCAATAATCATAATTTTTCAATATTTATTTGATTGAATATTCTCTTTGTTCAATCGTTTTTCGGACTCAAGAAAAATGATATACAGCGCCCAATAATGAATTTCATTTCCTATGAATGTGAGTGCAGACCTCACCTGTTAGTCGGCCTTTAAACTTCTTATTGGTGGAAAACTAAATTTTCCAACTCGTAGCATTATATACTATGCTGGAGGGGATTTCCCGAGAATTCAGAAGATTCCAGAAAATTCTTGATTACTCCATGAAATTTCTGGGGTTTTATGGGATTTCATGTAATTTCAGATATTCGAGGCTTTTTAATATTTCAAAGGATTTCATTTGATATTCCATAGAATTTCATGCTATTTTATTAGGTGTATAACTTAATCTTTTCATTTTTTTATACAAAAATATGTGACATTATAAAATACATAAATACTAGGCCAATTCTCGAAATATCGTCCATCGTTTTCGATGACCTTGCGCCATCGATCGGGCAACATACTAATGCCATCGCGAAAAAAACTTGCACGCTTTGAGGCGATGAAGTCATCGACGAATTTTCGTATATCGTCCAGAGTTTGGAAGCGCATTTCTTCCAAGGCGTGCTGCATGGACCGGAACAGATTAAAGGAACAGATCGAAAGGGGCCAAGTCCGGTGAATAAGCCGCGTGCGGAACAACCTCCCAGCCCAAGCTTAAAATCGTTTTCTGTGTCGCGCGAGTAACATGAGGTCGAGCGTTATCGTGGAGCAATATAACTTTCCGGCTCTCTTGCCAAGTAAATGGCCTTTTCTCATCAAGTACCTCGCTCAATTTATTCAACTGCCGACTGTAGCGTTCTGCAGTAACTGTCTGGCCCATTTCCAGAAGTTCGTAATAGAGTACACCCTGCATATTCCACCAGATTCAGAGGAGAACCTTCTTCATGTGATTTTTTTGTTGGGGAGTGGATGTCGATGGTTGTCCGGGATCCACACATGACTTTTTCCGTTTGGAATTAGCAAAAAAAATATATTTTTCATCTTCCGTCACAATTTTTGACAAAAAATTTTTCTTCTGGTGCTTGGCGAGCAACGAAAGGTACGTGTTCATGCGTTGGCCGCGGTTATGTTCAGTCAGTTAATGTGGAACTCATTTTCCTACCTTTTGTATTTTTCCCATTGCGTGTAATCGTTTAGAGACGGCTGCTTGAGTAACTCCTAGCTGAGCTGCAAGTTCTTTTTGGGTTTGCGTTGAGTCTTTGTCAAGTAATTCTTGCAATTCAACATCTTCAAATTTCAGAGGCTGTCCAGAGCGTTTCCGGTCACTGAGATCGAAATCACTATCTTTAAAACGTTTATCCCAATATCTACACGTATCATAAGACACAATATTACTTCCAAGAGTAGGACAAATAGAATGGTGGGCTTCAATGGCTTTTTTTTTGTTGAAACTCGTAGAGATTACAGTGTGGCATGTGCTGCGTATCGGTCGCCATTGTATATACTACTGTTTTGTGAAGTTATATAGCTCTTCCAGGCCTGACATATAGTGTGTTAAAAACAGTAAGGCTCACTTTTCAAAATCGCAAACGGATACGTAAATATTTAAATTTTAAATAAGACACCGCACTCAATGAAGAAAAAAGAAAAGATTAAGGGTATTATTATAGGGTAGGGGTATTATTGTACACCTAATAATATCATCTATACGCTATATTTCATGAATGAATACCATTGCCGAAACATCTTGAGACTGAATTTCGCAAAACATTGCAAGGATCATACCCCGCAAGCGTCAAACATCGCGAGGATCATACAATAGAAGTAATCAGGATAGTGTCAAGGATTAAACGACCACGAGGGTAAACCGAGAGAAGCACACAGGACAATCGCCAGGGTCAAATTACGGAAGAAAGCAGGACACTCACAAGAAGCAAACGTTTGCACAGGTCTTAGGATTATTGAGCTGGATTTATAATCCTGCGATCGTTGGAACTATCCTGCCTGACTCTCCCAGTTGACCCCCGTGAACCTTCGACCCTCGCGATAAAAAAATACAGAATTGAGAGGTCAAGACGAATTTTAAATTTAAATAAACGAGAACGAAACCAGACCTTCCACAATCTCGTCTCATCTCATCGTGTGGGCGACTCATCATTATTTTCATCATTATTTTCCTATATTAATGAGGAAAAGATGAGTAGAGAATGCTTTCTGAATTTTACTAAAAAATCATTTGTATTAGTGTTTCATGTTGCCCTGGTCTCTTCTACGCATTATAAATTCCGCAGAAGCAGAGAAATCGATGTTTCAGTGTTACGTAGGTTTGCTCTAGTTCATTTTTCATATGAACTAGAATATAAACCGAAAAAATAAGATCAAAGAGGCATATGTTTTGGAAATACACTCCTTTGGTGATCTCTATTTGAACATAAGCTCATTTATTGTTACCAAAATGAAATTCCGGAAATCCATAAAAAATTAAACTCCATTTAGCAGGAAAAAAAATGTACGTCCTTTTGGTCTTGAAAATCAAAAATGCCAGAACAATGGCTCTTACGTACAGTCCAACGCTAATTCTTCTCGTGCAACGACACCGCCACTTATGTGATTAATCAACTATCCTTCCTATTCGTGGAATTTAATTTTTGAATTGAAAAAAATCATGCTTGCCCCCTTTGAATCGAAGACAGCTACCAGAATCTAATTTAGACATACACAATTGGCTTGACCCGTTCGATCACTTGACTATTCGAGATGCTAGGAATTAATTATTTCAAACCTCTTCCCTCAGAAGATAAATACTAAATGAGCGAGTTTTGCATTTGTCTGAATTCATTGCTTAACTAAATTAAATATTGAAAATATTACTCTACCTGGGAAAGTGTAATGAGATGATCGAAAGAAACTCCATGATTCAAAATGATCCGTAAATTCTTAGAATAAATTCCAGGAAATTTTGAAATCAAATCTTGGATTTTTACGTTGAATCGTTCCTCCATTTTTTTTTTATCTTCAATATCTGCATCTGATCCAATTTGACTAGCAGTATAGCCGTCCGGTTGAGCTCTACCTTGTTTCAATTCCTCGAATAGCTGTGCTGTGGCTGGAGGATTAGGCGACCACACAAGTTTCATTTTCGGAAAATGTAATGTGAGTAGTTGGAGTTTTGCCGTTATATCAGAACTTTGCATGTCTTTACTCATATAATAATTACCCTGCAAATATAATTCAGAAATTAATGACAAGATTTACCGCGATCAAAATACAATAAAATTAAACAATCAAATTTTTTTTTCCCAACAGTAATATAAATAAATTCCAACTTGAGAGGACGAGCTGCACGCGAATTCTACCTACATAATCGCCAGGAAATAGTAGATAGTGCGTCAAAAAAGGAAAGCAGGAGATTCTAATCCATGTGCGGATTGCAGGTTAACACGCGGTTTTGATATTCTGTTTTCGTTCTTAGATGTACAGACGTTTTTTCATCACAACGTATGGTAAAGTGCGTTTGTGGTTCAGAAACGCAGGGAAGAACATCGCTTATGTCATTCGGAGGATCACCGAAAATAACAGAAATCTGAGGAATGAAATAAACCATTTTCCTCCCGTCATTTGGGATGAGAAATCAAGCTTTCCATGCAGATATGACAATAGTTGATTTTCAACCCAGGGAGGTACAATAAAAGAATTTCATTCCTCTGGATTGAATTAAATGCGTATTCAAAATGAAACATAATCAATTTCAAACATAAATTCTACCTTCATTCCGGGGGCGACAGAATCATAAAATTGAGTTATTTCGAACCTAACTCCTAGGTATCAATTATTCTCAAATAAGATGCAATTTACGAATCCATGTCTTTTCAACTAGGAAACATGTCAACTATAGATTTTTCGACTCATACTTATTCAGAAAATAACATTTCAACTAGCTCATTTCAACTGCTAAAGTTGAATTACACGACAGACAGATGATATTCTTAAAATATCCATCCCGAAATTTCTTGAAACGTCAACCACCAAACAAAATATTTGTGTCTTTATAAATTCGCACACACAACTACAATATCATACAAATGGAATCGATTCAGTCACTCGAAAATCAACAAGTTGTTCACGCGATGTCTCAGACATTTATAGATGAACAGTTTATTTATTAAAAAAATTGCACGGGGAAGATGTTTTTCCGATATTTCACCATTGGATGGCGATGCGTCAAATATTATGCAGATAACCGCTGCTTGGCATGCATCTACAGAGATTTAGATAAAAATGACAAATAGTCATGAAAATTGAATAAGCAAATTGAATTAATTCAATAAATTTCACTGGAATTGAACAAATAGATTCATTTCAATCGCTGGTAGTAAAGGAGTTATTCAAACTTGAATTTTGTGTTTGTGTGCGCTTGTATTCCTATAATAAAAGTAGTTTCTTAGATATGAATAAATTTCTGTTTCATTCAAATAGAGAATCCATTACTTAAAAATGACCCCGTTTTCTAAATGGTAAGGAGAATCTAATACATTTCATCTAGTGTATTTTATTCTCGCATGGGGGATGGGCATTTAAATTCGTGGATATATTCTTTCATATTATTCCCAGTTATACCATGCTCTTAAAGGGGAGACTACTATGAGTTCTAAAAGTCGCGAGCGATTGGAGTGAGATTTCTCATGCATTGAAGATCGATTATACAGAGTGTCCCACTTGAAACAGGACAATTGGAAATTTCTCCAGGGAGGGGTCATACAGCAAAATATATCAGATGAAAGTTGTAGGGTATGGAGGAGGACATTCGGTGCAGGTGGAACTTATGCCCCCTTTGTTTATGTTTTTATACTGCAAGCATGATATCAATTTTTCCAAATGGTGATGTAATTTTTGACCCCCTGAAAGTAGTGCACCTCTTTGAGACGAATTCAACCAAATTATATTTCATTATTGTTTCTGTTGGAGTATTGATTACGTAAATGAAGTTAAACACTGGATCAACCATGAAAAGAACGTTTATTCAAATAATACGCGTATCGTAACACATCTCAGTACAACAGTTAGAACGTAGGTGCTAACGCACGTGAGAACAACGACACTAGGCCAGCAGCTTGCACATGCGCCAGTACAACATAGAATAAGTATAATATAGAGTGTCAATTATGTGCAACGATGAGAGCAAGACCGAGCGGAGGCGCCATCTATTCCAATACCCCCTCCCGACTAATCCTGAGTCTTCTCCTCTTGCACTTATCTCTTTATGTCTTCCTTTTTCCTGGAACATAGATACATGGATTAAATGATGACATTCTTCATTTGATCAACTTAACATTTGTGTAGCTCAAACGCCAGAGATTTTAATGAGTACATCTGCCAACTGATCTCTAGACCTGATCCAGTTTATTTTTATCAAGTTGACCTTAACGTACTCCTTAATATAATGTGCTTTGACATCAAATAAATCCCTCAGTTTATTACCCCCACTCGTCTCTGCAGTAGAAGTAGCCTCTCTATTATCGTAACATAAAATCATTGGCAAAGCGGGAAAATATAAGTTTCATTGAGTTACTGATAGACAACATCTCTTGAATCGCCTCACTTATTGCAACGTACTCGGCTTGAAAAGTCGAAAGTGCTACATACGACTGTTTGTTTTCACCTAGCAATGGAATCTCCGAATAGTTTGATTAAATATCCACAAGTAGTCAGTGAACCTTTGCAGTCTGCAAAACTCCTGTTAGAGTAGCCTTGAATCTCATCTGTCTCACCTGAATATCGACGATCTAAAGTCGACGTACCTCTCAGGCACCTGAATACTCTTTTTCCGATCTTCCAGTCTTCATCTGGAGGACCGGCCCAATGTCGACTTAATATATTGATCATATACGAAATGTCCGGTCTAGTTGTTCCTGCTAGGTACAACAGGCTACCCACAATCTATCTGGGCTGTCCAATCCTTCCTCAGTTTCACTGTCAAGTTCATTGCCAGTGTCTGACTCTCTCATCTTTTACTCATGGTTGGAGGCCTGTGTTGTAAGCATTGGCATTCTTTGAGGATGTGAGTTCTCGAAACCTCACTTCTCTAAAATTTTATTTACGTATTTTTTCCGACTCATCTGTGATAATTGGATTTTCTTCGTCACGTGTAATGGAAATATTCAAAAATTCTTTGGGCTCACGTATTACCGTCATTTCAAATTCTGAACTCAATTTAGTTTTTACCTCATCTAATTTGAGTTTGTTATAATTTGCCAGCGGTATATCGTCTACATACTGTAGCAATATTAAGAACTTATCCTCATCTCTCCACGTGAATAAACAGAGCTCAAGATCGGAGTTTGATAGACGAACTGCTTGAGCGATTTCGGTTCAGTTCAATTTCACATTCCAGAGGTTTGGGCTTATTCGGAATCCATAGAGTACTTTATCCAGCTTGCACACCTTAGTTTTCCTCTGTTGATCAGTGTACTGAATACTTTCTGGTATTTCCATGTACATTTCCTCATTTATGTCTCTATTGAGGAAGGCTATTTTCACATTTAATTGGCATACAACTAAATCAAATTTATTTATTATGGCAATAACGGCTCTAACTAAATTCATTCTCGATACAGGAACATATGTCTCTCTCAATTCGTAGATGTTTCTGCCTTTAAAACCTCTTATAAACAGTCTTGCTTTATATGACATCTTACCGTTGGTTTCCATCTTTCTTTTGAACACCCAATTGAATCAATTATATTGCCTTTTTGTGCACTCTTCATAATGATTGGTCTGGCTACTAACCTTCACATCTTATTTTTGCTCATCGAATTCAATTCTTCATTAATTGCCTGAGTCTAGGGATTCTTATCTCCACTTTCCATCGCAACTCTATAGTTTATAAGATCAGAATTGATGTTGGCTAGTAGCGCATGATATATTTCATCAGTTGATTTGTCTAGATTTATTTCTTGTTCGTCTTGAAATGGGCACGAAAGACATCAGCTTTCGTCCCTGTTTTTTTCGTTGTGCTGACAGGAATTGAACTTCGACATTTCTTCTCTTCAGGTTTGGTAGATTCACACAACTTGAGTTTTAAATTTGGTTCCTTCGCCTGCCTCTTCTTCTTTTGGTTTGTCCCTCCAGTTTAAAAGATTCTTTTGACACATCATCATCTTTGGCGCAATCAACCAATCATTTTTCTTTATTCATCTCTTCTTGAATTGTTGGAAAATCCTAAAACTCATCTTTCTCATGTCTATCTCTATAGACTTTTTTCTCATTGAATCTAACATGTCGACTTTCAAAGTATTTCCCGTTCTCTAGTCTTAGTAGAGAGTTCTTTCTATTTTAGTTCTATTTTAGTTAGTTTCTATTTTAGTTGAGTTATAGTTCTCTAGTCTTAGTAGTATATACCCTGTCGGGGTGTTTCCAACTAAAATTACTCTTCCACCTACTGCCCTGAACTTTGGACCCGTCTTTCTCTGTACCTTCACATATGCTAGACATTCAAATCTTTTAATTTGATTTATGCCAAAATTGTGATTGGGAGCAAACTTTTCTAATGGAGTCTCGTGTCATTAGATTTATGTGGGGTTCGATAATAAGTGTAGACTGTGGTCCCACATGCCTTCTGGTAGTTTCGCATCAAACATATATGCAAGCACTTTACTTCAGATAGTTTGATTGTATCGCTCAGTAACTCCATGTTGTTCTGAAGTATCTGGACCGGCGAACTGTAATTCCGCACCTAGATTCTTTATAACTTCGATTGCATGCCCGCCTAGGATTTCTGTACCTTGGTCTGATCTCAGATAACACACGTTCGCATCATACCCTAAAAAGTTTCTACCACTTTTAACGAACATTTCTAAGCATTGACCCGTGTCGCTTTTCGCGTTCATCGAGTATGCCATGGCAAACCGTAATTTATCTTCGATGAATACAGAAATATATCTATATCCGTTGGGGTGTGTACTTGGAGAGATGGGTCCCATAATATCTGAATGAATAATTTGCAACGGTTTTGTAGCTCTGCTTCTCGTCCTGGGAAACGGCAACTTATTGAATCTGGATGCTAAACACACCTCACAATCCATTAAAGATTCATCGAAAATCTTTCTTTATTGTTTTTAAATCTGATGAGCTTCTAGATATACGATTGACGCATGACCAAATCTGACATGCCATAGCATAGCCTTGTTTTTCTCCTGTAATTTATTTTCTTCTTCCTCAA